AACTGTAATTGTTTGTAATCAAGTAAATAAAGTGGGGGATGTCCAAGTATTCGACCAAAATAACGAAAATAAAGTTGCTTGAAGTTTGACATCGGTAGATTCCATGGTATCGAGGTCCGATTGTGGAAAAATTGATACCTACGTATTCATAACGCCGCGGAGAAGGTTTATATCTAGGTTAGAACATAAAAAGGGTTGCCACCTGCTAAAAAAATTAATGCAATTAAGTTAAATACTACAATATGGGTATCAATCGAGATGTTTTTGAAAAGGCTTTATTTCTAAACAAAATGTGGGAGGATGACCATCTGTTTAAAAATTAAATTCAACTTTAATTCAAGGGAATTAGGTAACTGAAATACATATAACAATATTGGTGTGAGACTGAAAAGTTTAATATGGTTATAGTTTAAAACAATTTTTACAGGGCTGCCAATTGCTTAAAAATTAATTTCAATGTATATGATAGGTTAAATTAATTTTAACAATATGGATATGGAACACGAGATGGTTTGCCACCTGTCAAAAAATCTAATTCAATTAATTTCAATGAATTACTATGCTAATATTACATTTACATTGGACCGAAATGCGTGATTTGAAATCAGTCATCTGAAGGTGTTTACACTACTTAGTTCGCATTTCCTTTGACTTCTCATCAATTGAAAAGGGAAAACGAAAACAAAAGGAATGTAAACAAACACTGCATGCCTTATATTTTTTAACACATTTTGGACACAAAAAGGCAATTATTGATTAAACTTAAAATGTGTAAAGGTTATGTATAAATTAAAAATTTTTATATGCAAATTTCAAAGATTTATTCATTTCGTTGTCTTTGTTTTGATTTTGAAAAATTCCAAATGTCAAAGACAAACAAAAGCTTTTGTGGAACTTTTGTTTCTGAGTGAGTTCAATAAAATAGTACGGCAATTGGAACGCATTTTCTTCGTGATTTTGTTTAAATGCGTTCAAATGCGTGATTTTAGAAATGCGAATTTGTATGGGGAAATGCGTAATTTGGCTTCGCATTTATGTTTTCTCCCCCCAAATGACGCATTTGGGTTCAATGTAAATGTAATATAAGGGTATCATACAAAACGGCTTTGAAAGGGCTTTTCAATTACATTTAGTAAGATTGCTACCTGTTTAAAAAACCAAATCAAACCAAAATAACATATGATTAAAAAACACTATACGGAGTAACCATTGTGTTGAGTTTTATTGAAATAATTTGCACCTTATCTAACACGCAGAAATTGCATACACTCATCGAACTAAGTACAGTATATGGTAGTTTGTTTTATTTGAAATGTCTTTTAACTTTTATTTTTTGGTGAATCTTTTGTGCCTTCTTAGAATTAATAATTATAAATAATTTCGAATACGTGGCAACTTTGTACAAATATCTTCAGATACCCTTAAAAATAAAAACTTTATCTGAATAAAAAATTCGATCAAAATCGTTAGAGTCGTTTCCTAGAAGCCTTTGGATATATATGGGTAAATCTAAAAAATAGGTACACCTAAAAAAAAAACTTTAATTTTTAAATTTGTGAGCACACCTATGTTTTATATATTATTTTATTCGCATTCTCTTAATAAATCGATTAATATTTATTCATTTTCATCAAGTGCTACAAAAGTAAGACGAGGAATAAATATGAAATAGAAAACAAAAGAACGTGAACCCAGCTTACGTTGTTCAAGTTGTAAATTTTGAGCAGAGATTTTGAAAGTTGAACTCACTTGATTGGCATGTTCTAAATTCAATGGCATCCCCCGTTTTACCAGACTGACCCCAGTTTTCGAGATAACGGTATTTGAAAATTTTATTAAATTTTAACAATCTTATAAATAACTTGCTCAGTTTTGAAGTTATTTTACTAAAATTTTGCACGTAACGGTTTTTTAATATTACCTTCATTACTCCTTAAAAATGCACTTTAACGTAGCTCCAATGTCTGTTTTTGCGCTATATCTGTAACTTCATATCTGATTAATAAATTGTATGCGTGCTATATGTTAAAGTGAGCCTATACTAAATTTTTACCTGCTTAATTGGAGGAGTTATAACGCAAAACAACGTCTCTGGACAATCAGTTGTATGGGAGCTAGATTTTAGAGTGAACCGATTTCAATGATTTTATGAGACAACGAAGGAAATATTAAAATACAAGTGTGTGCAAAATTTTAGTAAAATATCTTCAAAACTGAGAGAGTTTTTTTTATAAAATAGTTCAAATTTAAGCAAAGTTTCAAGTACTGCTATCTCCAAAAGTGGAGACAATCGGGCGAAACTGTGGACGCCATTGAATTTAAAAGGCTTAAGTAAGAGCAAATATCAGAACCTTTGTCGAAAAAATTGATTTGATACCACGCTCGAAATATTCTAACTACAAGAAGGAGCATAATTAAAAGTACAAAATCGGGGTTTCTACACACTTCTAGAGAATTTTTTTTAAACATTTTACAGGTATATGCAACGTTATAAGCAAAATGTATTCAACAAAGTGTGATTTTGACATTGCTCTCATAAGAAACAGGCTATAATGTCAAACTGAAATGAATTCTTAACCCATTTCAATTATTTTTTTTTTCAAATTTGAATTTGTTTAAAAAAAAAGTTACACACAAATTTTTCAAGCAACAAATTTTCTTAATAAACGTGAAATTGTTAAGAGATAAACCGCCGAGGAGAGCAAGTAAGTACGTTTAAAGTTGGGTAATAAGTAAATACGTTCGACTTTTCTTATATATTTAATGTAAGGAAACCAAGATGAAACGGAGCAAAACATTTGAACGGTGCGCTGTATGCAATAAAAGTCAAGACACGAAATTAGTGCGATGTTTTAAACCACCTAGTTGTGAATCTGAAGAAAGCTGTGGTGTTGTACTACGTGTTTCATCTCGCGTTTGTGAAAACCACTTCAAGGAAAGTGATTTCATTAGTTGTCCGTCCGAATCAAGCACTTTCAAACGAGCTCGTTTATACCCAGGCGCAGTCCCAATGCCATACGAAATAACTGAAACAAGTGAGGATTTAGAACGCGATCAGGATACATTATTTGTTGATGTCCAAACTCAAACAGGCCAGTCTTTAGAATGCACGTTGAGAACAGAAATATTTCTTCTTACCGAAATAATTAAAACCATGCAAGCAAGTATGGAAGAGCTTAATTTAAAACTGCTTGAAGTCTTTAATGGAAAACTATTTCGCATGAAAAAAAATCTAATTTCAAAATTGTTAGAGTTAAGCTCACATATAAAATTGGAAATAAATGTAAAATCCTACTTTTATAAGTGTCGCATAATGTTTAGGATAAAAATCTTAAATATAAAAATAAACGCACAAAAGCATAAAACTTGAGCAATTAAAAACAAGAAAATTGCTAAAACTATTTTATAAAAACTTGTTTTATTTTATTGACAAAATATATGTATTCCAGGTAATGTAAGTAAAACAAAACTATAATCGAAATAAAAGCCTAGGGCGTCAGTGCTGACAAGATACATGCAAAACTAAGGGTTAATTCGTTTGTTTATACTTTTTGACATAATAGTACCTTAAAAGAGAGCCGCACTGAATTGTCAATCACACCTTGTTTAATGCACCTTGGTTATAAGGACTAGTAGTTATAAAAATATTTAGATCGTTTCGACGTATTTTCCAAATGTGCCTTCAATTAAGATATTTTTGGAA